AAAAAGGATTTGTTTGAGAATAATATGAAATTCTCCCTAGGTAATGGGGATAGGTCATTATCTCTATAGCTATAGCATTCCTCTTTGGAATTCTTTTATCAGGTAATTGAAGACTAGTGCGAACCAGAAGGGAAGTAACTAACTGTTGAATCTAGGCCCTCACCCACTTCAGCATTTCACAGTGGCATTTTTCCTCTTTGGGTCATGCGAGAGAAAGACGTTCTCTATCATAAGTGTGTTTTTTTTGTCTTTTGATGTTGACAGACTTTAATGTAGTTACTTTATTTTTCCCTCCTTATTAGTCATTTGAGGCAGAACTGAAGCAAAATGTAAACAAAGTGCAGGAATTGAAAGACAAATTGACAGAGCTGCTGGAGGAGAACCCGAATACTCCTGAGGCCCCCAAATGGAAACAGATGTTGACGGAGATAGGTATGTGATGTTACTTACACGAGACTCCATGAACAGAAGCTTACTTTTTCTTTTTAAGTCCTAATCTTGATCAGAAAACATTTATGCAATGGTCTCACTTATTTTGGGATTTGCTTTACTGTTTCACTGTGTATTTTTGTATATTTAAAAGTGTCATTTCAAATTAAATTGTGCTAACTTGGCATAGTTTATCTTGTGGGTATTTTTTGGATTTTTGCTGCACACAATAACTAAATTTCTTATTCTGTTATTTTTTAAATTTATTTTTATGAAGAAGGTACATACTAGTTAATCACATGCTGTGCATTGAGTAACATGTTTTCATTATTGCTTATTTTTTACTAGATTTTTGGTGCTTCTAATTTTTTATGCTTTGTTATATTTTAACTTAAATATTCCTTTTAGTTTCTTTGTCTGGAAAAGGTAGGCTCCTTTCTCTCCCATGAGGTTCCTTTTGGTGCTTCTCCAGCTCTTCCTCCATGCTCTTCTTCTCTCCCCCAACCAGTATTAAAAAGTAGCTCCCCACAGAAGTCTCGTGATTTTGCTTCTTTATCCAGAGTTATCCTCCCATATCAGTCCTGCCCCTGTATAAGCTGTTCCTCCTTGGTAAAGAATTTTCACAAGCCCTATTACCCTAACACCCCATTTCATTAATATAACAATGTGGAAAATGAGTGTCAGACAATGATACTAATTTTCCTGCTGCATAGAATTGCTTTCCAGAATTCAGCGGGATAGTGTGTATACAGCTCAGATGACTAATATCTGACACATAGTAAAGGCTATGTGTTTGCTATGATGATAGTAAGAATTATTTTACTCTCCATCATTCCATTATATTTGCCTGAAAATTGTCATTCCTTAGAGTCAGGTATGCTGTGATAAATTTAGAAATCTGTAAGTATGTTTTAGTTTGAAAAAGGTTATCCTAAGCGATCTTAATGTTCCATGGTGTATTTAATCCAACTGTAGAGAGTCCTGTTGCATTATAATGAATTTGCCTGTAATTCAGCGGCTCTCACCCTGGATATCAGAGTTACTTGGGAGAATAGTATTAAGACATTTTACAATAGGGGTGGGAATGAAGAATGTGTGTTTCAGAAAAGCTTCCCGATAAGATTTAGGTGTTTCTCCCTCTCAGTTTATTGTTTTGACTTTTATCAGATTGTATTTGACTACAACTTGTCCTATAGAATGATACCATTAGATAAGGTTTGGGGGTGGGGGGGTGTCTATTAAAATCAGGCCTTTAGTATATAGTATGCTAGCTGAAAAATATCCATCAGGTCAATTACTTATATCCCTCAGTGAATGTTTATTGAGTGTGTGTTATGTTCAAATGCTGACCAATAACTTGGCTTCAGGAGCAGGCCCTCTGGAGGGTGGGGAGGACAGGAAAGGCTTCCTAGCAAAGGGTAAAATCCAGAGGAGTTGTGAGGGAAGGGTAGAGCTGGGATACATGGGGAGGAGGCAGAACATGTCAGGTAGGGGTCTGTGTGAGCAGAAGCCTGTTTGGGTGATATTGGTAAGATCAGCAGGGCTAGATCAGAGGATTCATTCTGAAGTGCAAAACCTCTAAGATTAGTAGACCAGGGTTGGTTTGTGAAAGGTCCTGAATGTCAAGCAGAGGTCTTCAGATTTTATCATCTAGGTGGTGAGGAGTTAGTTATTCAAGGATTTTAGCACAGGAAGTGACGTATTTAAAAGTGATTTTTTTTTTTTTTTAGAGAAATTATTTTAGAAGCAAATGGACTGCAGCTGAGGAACACTAATGGCAGGGAAATCAGTTAGAAGACTGGTAGTCCAGGTCGTTTCAGTAGCTCTCAAAGTGTGTTCCTGGGAGCAGCAGCAACAGCACCTGGGAACTTGCTAGAAAATTTCAGGCCCCACTTCAGACCTCCTGAGTCAGAAACTCTGGGAGTGGGCCCAGCAACCTGTGTTAATCATTCCTCCAGGTGACTTTAATGTAGCTAAAGTTTGAGAGCCACTGGTCTGGGCAAACCATGATGAGGCCTAAAATGGAGTTAGGGCATTGGAAATGTAAAAGATGGGTTTAAAGTTTTAGGATTAAGGATATAGGAGAGTTAGGAGAGTCATGAGCATTCTGAATTATTGCATCTCAGTGACATGGGGGAGAGAATAACCTTTGAAAGAAATCTAAAAGTCAGAAAAGCCCACCAATTTCTATAGGAATACAGTGAGTTTTTAAAAATTTTATTAAGTTTATTGGGGTGACGTTAGTTAATAAGATTATATAGGTTTCATATGCATAATTCTAAGATACATCATCTGTATATTGCATTGTGTGTTCACCATCCAGAGTCAAGTAATGAGTTGGGTGTGTGTTTTTTTAATGTTGAGTTTAAAGGGTTGGTGGGATTTCCTAGTGTAACTTTCAAGCAGCTGGTTACTAACATGCAACTTGAATGGAAGAGAATGGTTGCCTATAGATACAAAAATTTGGTTGTCATTTGCCTAGAACTGATCATTAGAGATTTAATATTAAAGAAAAAGATTAATGTTCATTGTTCTGGCAGGTCAGTTACAGTTGAATTAACAGAGTCTAGAGGACTTCTAGAAGGAATGAGGGAGCTCAGGATCCTCTTTGCTTTAGGGAATATTCCATACTCTTCATTATCTGCTAAAATCAGATTCAAATTTACGTTCCTTTTACTTCATTTGACACACAGCCATCAGGGCCATAAAATCTGTTATCAATAAATGCAGTTCATTCTCTTAGGGTAGACTTTAATGAACTCTGTAAGAAGTTATAAATACGGAATGATAGCCATTATATATCACTCTGAGTCACATCCTGTAGTCTTCCTGTAGAGTCATGTTAAGTGTATAAAAACCAAACACCAGCTTTCCATTTTCTTTTAGACTCTAAGTGGCAAGAACTCAATCAATTAACAGTTGATAGACAACAAAAACTGGAAGAATCCTCTAATAACCTGACTCAATTCCAGACCGTAGAGGCTCAGTTAAAACAGTGGCTTGTGGAAAAAGAACTGATGGTCAGTGTTCTCGGGCCCCTGTCCATTGACCCAAATATGCTAAACACACAAAGGCAGCAGGTGCAGGTGAGTATCGCTTGACTTAACAAGACAAATGTTTTCATCACAGATATATTAGCTTTGGACAGTATGTGCTTTAGCCGCCTTCGAGCGTATTTGTAATGTTTCAGATGCCCCTAAGATACCGTCCTGAGGTTAATGAGAAACCCCAGAGAGCCAAAGCTGTGAGGCATCCCAGAGTAGTCTACTGAGCCCGGGAGTGGGTCAGGTCCCTTGATCATTTCAGTCGGATTATGGTTTGTGCAGACTCTCGTTACAGAGGGCCTTCTTTGAAGTATTAATGTGATCGTATAAGTAATAACCTTTTTATGAGAAGCTAGTATATGCTTTTTATTGTTTAGAAATTACTCCTTTGAGGTTTTGTTTATTTCGAGTATGGGAGTAGATAAAGAAACTTCTAAAACTCACGCAATACAGCCTTGATGGGGGGAGAAGCAGAAGAAGAGGGAGAGAAAGAATAAGGGAAGTGGAGAGGGAACCTTGAAACCCAGAGGGTTAGTTAGACTAGTCCGTTTATAAGCACATAAATCCACAAGGGGAGGAAAAAAAAATCCATAACAGTTAAGTCAGCCTGGCCGTACCAGCAGAAGCTCCGCTGTGGTTGCCATGAGATTTCTTTATGTGTGATTAGGGCACAATGAGAGATTTCTTTAGTGGTATTAGAGCAGTGAGGCTGATCCTGTCCGCTAAAGATACAAATCCATGTACATTTTTAATCTGAAGAGAATGGCAACAAAAGCTGCAAATAAACAGGGAGAAATAATTGCCCCCAATCTTGGTAGTCTCTCAGAGATAGATAAAATATTGTATGAAAGAAAAGGAAATGTTTGGATCGTTCGTTTTGTAATGAGAGCCAGTGCTGAGCTTGCGCATTCTGAGCAACATGACTTATTGGCTAAAACCATTATTATAAAAACTGTCAATAAATCTTATGTGAAAAGAACCTTTGTAAATCAATGCCCCGTGAGTTAATCTAGCCTAACACCCTTTGGTGTAAAATGCTGTAATTTTAAAAATCCTACAAAGGGAAAAGTACAAGTAGGGAAAACAAATTTGTGGTAGTGTGATGAGAACTTGTCCAATAGCAGGGTTTCCCTTTGTATATGAAAATTGGTACATGAATTTTTGTTCCTTTGGCCCAGACTGCTGAAAATATTTATTCCCTTTGCTTTCCCCTTTGGGGGATCTTATTTTGGGTAAAATATTATCTCTGTGAAGTACCAGAGCTTTTTGGATTACTTTAAGGTAATTGCACTGCCCTCAAAATAAAACCTAGGAAAGCAGTAACTAAATCTCAAAAATAAAAACGAGATAAATCAGTAGCATTTCTGTCTCTTTAGAAACTTAAAGCTGTGTTTTCTGCAATTAATTATTCAATAATTTGTGTGTTTATCTACCCTCATTACCTCTTCACCTTAGATTCTGCTGCAGGAATTTGATACCCGGAAACCTCAGTATGAGCAGCTCACAGCAGCTGGTCAGGGCATCCTGAGCCGACCTGGTGAACACCCCGCTTTCCATGGGATTGTGAAAGAGCAGCTAGCAGCTGTGACCCAGAAGTGGGACAGCCTAACAGGACAGTTGAGTGACAGATGTGACTGGATTGACCAAGCCATTGTTAAAAGCACACAATATCAAAGCCTGCTGAGAAGCCTTTCTGATAAACTGGGTGATCTGGATAACAAACTCAGCAGCAGTGTGGCCGTGAGCACACACCCTGATGCTATGAGCCAGCAGTTGGAAACAGCCCAAAAAGTGAAGCAGGAAATAGATCAGGAAGCGAAGCAGATAAAGGTGGCCCAGGCCCTCTGTGAGGATTTGTCAGCCCTGGTTAAAGAAGAGTACCTGAAAGCAGAACTTAGCAGGCAACTAGAGGGCATCGTAAAATCATTTAAGGAGATTGAACAAAAAGCAGGTTTGTGTCTCTTCTTTTAACACATAAATTTCCTAGAAATAGAGATCGTAGATGGCCTATTTCCAAGCTATTGCCAGTAATCTGGGACCCTAGAGAGAATCTGTCCCCATCCGGAGCGTAAGTGGAGAGGAGGCCACTCACACCACTACTGAGAGCAGGTGTGTGCATGTGCACACAATGTGAGGGTCACTCCGCGCAGACAAGGGAGGGACAGTGTTGGCAAAATCCACTTAACGAAGGCCCATGAAAATTTCAGGTATTCCACGTTGATTTTTATTTTTTTTATTTTTAAAAATATATCTTTATTGATTTCAGAGAGAGGAAG